AGGCATCTAAATCTGAACCATCTGTTGAATCGACTCGGGCGCTTAGACCAAGAAAAATGCGTTTATTTCATCTGGATTATCCAAGCCCGGCGGAAGCCCTGTTGTAGACCGGCTACAAATACCCACCCTTCCCAGATCATTCCACGACTGCCTTGAGCTATTATGACCAATATCAACCATCAAATTACTAAAGTGAGCTTTTTTCTCGGACCTTATCGTATTAGTAGTTAAATTTCTTAGTCGTTTGTAATTTTGCCAATCTATATCAAAATAAAACGTTTATAAAGCATAAATTTAGTTTTTGCATTATCCTGAAGCCTCATTAACAACTTTACATTTCCAGTGATCCAAGGAAGGTAGGGCTTAGTAAATTATCTGATAATTAAAGGAGCATGTACATTTAGCAAGTTTAAAATGAAATGTGTAAAGAAAGAAACATTATCATCAATGTTAGGCATACGAAAAATAAAATGCAGGGGAAGGTCATACAGATTAAGTAAAAAAGCGTCTATGTTAATAGATGCCAACGCACGGTATGTTTTTAAAACAGGCTCTCTCAAAGAAGATTTACACGTAACATCACAGTATATCATGTTGTGATCACTATAACTACAGTCAACATCATTGTTTATCACAAGGGACGGGTTCGTGGTTATTATCAGATCTATTAATGTAGATGAAACTCTCGTAACTCTAGTAGGTTTTTTGATAAGCTGTATCGCCTCTACTGATTCAAGGAAACTCATGTGAAAAATAATAGATGGATCGTCAAATTTCAAAAGATCAATATTAAAGTCTCCAAAGCAAAAGATATTTAGAAATTCAGATAAACGCTCACTAAATGTGGTTTCCAAGATATCGTGAAACTCTCTGTAATTTGCTGCTGGAGGTTTGTACACGGTACCGATATGAAAAACCTCCGAACCCAACCTAAGTTTAACCCACAATTGTTCAATTCCATTACCTTTTAGAGTAACCTCATACTTAAATCCATCTTTTATAAACATTCCTAAATATGTTTGAAAATAGTCATTGGAAACTTTTACCCCACGAACCCAAATGGAAAATCTGGCCTCCACGTATACATCCGAGTTTACTTTATTGTTCCGTAAAAATTTTAGAACTTAAGAAGTGTTCCACGGTGAAAAAAGTTTGGGAAACACTGCTTCTATAGCAGTATGTATAGCGGTATGAATCGGAAACAATTCCACATTCTGAAAAGGCTAAATACTTGGGTATAGTGATAGACCAGCATTTAAAATGGAATTATCATGCGGTATACATCTCCAAGAAGCTAAAGGCTTTACTGCCTAAATGTTATGCTATTCGTAACATACTCGATAACAAACTAAAAAAGTTGTTTTACGATACTATGGTACTGTCTCAGATTGATTATGGTATTGTTGTGTGGGGTGGAGCGTATAGTACTAACATAAAAATTTTGGAAAACACAAATAAATACGTAATAAAGGTACTGCACAATAAACTGCGGACCTTTTCCACAAATAGAGTGCTTAATGACACTGACAGTAGTAGCGTCCAAAAAAGATACATAATATTAAGCTTAATTCACGTTCATAAAACAAGGAATCTTTATACGGAAATCAATCATGAATATAATACAAGATCACATGCTAACAGATTAAATAAACTGCCAAAAGTGAATACTACCGTATATAAAAATTATCATCTGTACCGTGCATTGAAGTACTACACTGTTAAAAATTTTACGGAGTGATTTAACTCTTTCGGTATAAGGTGAAATATTACCGCGAAAAAGTGGTAAACCTAACTAAATTCTAGTAGGTTGCAACACTTTTCAGAGTCAAAATAACTTTGTTAAAAGATGTTAAAAATACGGTGTTAATCTGTTTACTCCTCACAGTGTAACTTTACACTTTCCAACTCTGCATTATGATTAAAAGTAGAATACAAATAATTCGGTGTAAACTAACTAAATTTTAAATTGTATTTACCCCGCTATATAGGTTTCGTTGTGGTCATATGATCTATCACGTGATTCTTCTACAGTATTGGCAATTTTTAGTCGAAGCAAGTCGCAGCGTGCACAAACGTTATTAAATCGTGGTACTTTAATTTTTTAATATTTTCCATATTTTTGTTAAAATGTATGATTGGTGCATTCGCGTAAAGTACGACCGAAAGAAGAGGGTTAAGTTAAGTGGGTAAGAATTGGCTAAACAATTGATTGATGAAGCGGTTAAGTATATTTTACTTATTGTTGATTTTGTTTATTTGTACAAATCATTATTTTATAAATACTCTACTTATTAGATAGAATTGCTCGATAAATTCATACTATTTGCATTATTACTGTAAGTTTTATATATTATATTTTATTTAATTAAATGTTGGTGCCTAAACATCACTCCACACTAGAGTTAGCTACTAATTATTTTGTGAATTGGATTGACGAAATTCTTGCTTTGCTGTTAAAGCATTTCTCGAGGTTGCTTTCGAAAAATAATAATTATTGTTCTAAATTCACTCACCACAAAATTAACCGAACATTTGAATTTTTCAAATCATTTTTTTCTTTATATTGTGAATTTAGGTTGCATAATAATAAACATTTTGACTTTTTAGGTTGCTTTAGATTTTCAATTAAAATTTCAAAACTTTGGAAGGTATAAAAGCAACTTTCCGAAATATATCGATAAAGTATTTAAAACGTACACTTCTAACATTCAAAAAGAACTACCGAAAGGTAATAACTAATAACAAATAAACTGTTTATGCGTTCTGTAAATGTTATTTTTCAGGTTGAGATAATGATAGAAATGCGATTTTAACATTATTTCACTTATTACCTTATTATTACTTATTATTTTTAATATGTTGTCATGATGTAAGTTGTTACTATACAAATTTGGTTTCTTATTAACACAACTGCCCAATTTATTACATTAGATACCTACTACATTAATGCCTAATTTATTATTGAATTTTTAGTTATCTAAAACCTTAGATGAAGCTATTCATGAAAAGAAGACTGATCAACCGTTTCTTGTAGCTGTTGGTAAATCAAAATTAAATATACAAGACTATTATCAATTAAATATTAGCAATCGATGGTATTATGTTACCAGTAGAAGCCAAATGTTCTTGAGGGGGAAACTTCAAATTTACAGTAAATTGCAGTTAAGTATAACTTTGGGTTTTTATAATTATCCCATTGTGTTTTCAGATAGAATTCAACATGTATAAATGTTTTAAGTACCAAATTATTGTTTTTAAGCACATTATATTTCTACAAAATATGAATTAAGTTCTTATGTTTATTAATAGATTATTAAAACTCAAACAAATTTGTTCTGATTTTGATGACGCCCTGTTCAAGAATCCTTAAAACCCAAGTATAATACTGAAATAAAACTCCCCTAAGAGTTTTTAACACAAAATTTTACTAAAAAATAATAGCTGAAGTTATCCGGTTAGGTGTTACATTTATCTCCTTCAAGGATACCTTTAACAGTTAAAACCTAAACAGTTAATCTTATCCGGTAAAGTATTATATTTACCTCCTTCAAGGATGTCATTAACTAAAAAAAAGATTAATTTAACTATAAATAAATAGTTGAAGTTATCCTGTAAGGTGTTAGATTTACCTCCTTCGAGGATATTTTTAACTAAAACAAGATTAGTTTAACTATGTATAAAGAGTTCAGAATATCCGTAAAGGTATCCTTTCAACAACATAGAATCAGTTAATTAACAATTATCATTAGTTGCATTCCTCCACCTTATGTATAACCTATAACTACGTTTTAGGAGGAATTTAACTACACTTGGCAATTTATATTTGTTAAATTTCTAACTCCGTAAAATTAGTCTCCGAAACGGGTGGTCGTGAGGGAACTTCCAGATTTAGTTGAAAAAGAGTTAAATTTAGGTCCATGTTTTTAACAGTGTATAACCTCCTTCCAAGTGCATTAAGAGAGATAAAAAGAATTAAGACTTTTAAGGCCGAAATTAAAAAATTCATGGAAACCCATGAATATTTTGCAATGTTACAGTGACGCTGATGTGGTGTCTTCGGTGTATGGTGTGAGTGACTTTGGCTGTCTCCCTGGCTCCTCTGAAACACCCGAGGCGCCTCTAACAGGATTTTATTTGTTTCAGTTGGTTGTTAATGTGGGCAGAGTTGTTCGTTTTTTTTTGTTTGTAGTAGCTGCCGGGATATGTATGTTCGCTGATGGAATAATACATTGCAATACTAGTTTGCGAACTCACAACACAGATACATAAGTATCTATTGTGAGGAACGATATACCTTATTGTTAATTAGCTTACCAATGTATTGTAATATACATTGGTATTTTTATAAACATTTATATACACAAATGTTTTGTTGTGAAAGATAAATAAATAAATAAATAAAAAATCTGATGTTGAATAACAATTGAAACTGACACTGAACCCAGAACTAATTCTATACCTAGAACTAGAAACATTCGGCTTTAGCTGTGCGGCTAACCCCGATGTATCTGGTTATAGGTCTAGTGTTAGTTCTAGTTTTAGGTCAATAAAAATATACCAATCTAACGCTGGGTAACAACTAAAATTAGAGCTCACACTAGGCTAGAACTAACACTAGACTTAGTTAGAACTAGAAACATTCAAGTTTAGCCTTGCGCCTCTCAAGACATTAAAAGATTAAATGTAATAAATTTAAAAAAAGATTTATATGTATAACGTAAACATTTACTCATAAAATTTCCAATACAAAAACAAATTATACCTTAAATCATTATAATGAATTATAAATACCAGTTTAATATTTCAATACTTTTAAGTAGATTGTTAAACAAAACAAATTTTATACCATCGTTTAAGTATAATCTATCCATCCAATCCCCCAATTAAAAGGTAAAGCACGCTCTGCTTCCGCCTTGTTTGTTCAAAATACGAAATTTGCGTTAATCTCGTTTACGAATGGAATATTCTAATTAGACCATGAACGAACGTACTTGACTTACCATATAATAGATTCCGCACGCGAAGCTTCCCTTTCTCACGTTGTTCCAACAACAACAAGTTGTCAGGATGGCCATCTTGTGATTTAATACTTCGACGGACCGCGTATCATTCTCCTTTGCACAATTTCAAAGTTTGTAACAAAACTAGACGATGAATTCAGATGACGAGGAACGTGACCTTTAACCTAGGTAGTAACTTTCGTCGGAATTGTATTTGCCAAGGGATAATATCCTGCAGGTGGTCAAAGCTACGTCAATTAATTCGTAGTCACGTTGGGAATTCAAGGATCTTCATTAAATTTCCAACTTTCAGCATTTCATTTCAACAGATTCATTTTATATAAAAGTAAAACGAGAGAATTTAAAAGTTTGAGTGCTTAGATTTTTTGATTTCTTCTCACCTGGAAAATAAAAAATGCTAGTATATAATAAAGAGATTATTTTTTAGTAGGGTTTTAATAATTCGTGTAGGTATTAAAACTGAAATAATTACACAAAATATTTATGGTTTGTTTATATTTATAATAGGCGTATTATATTTTCCGCTCGGATATAAGCGATTTATAATATAAATTGAGCGCTCAGGGATTGTTTATAAACAATATCAAGATCAGGATTTAAGTGTAATTTATGACATCAGTTTTTTACCTCTTTCTATATTAAAAAATGTACATCAAAGGATAACGGTTGTTTATTAAATCAGCGGAGCCATCGCAATCAATCACCAGTATGAAAAAGATGTTGGAAACATAATAAATAAATTTCTATCAAGTTAAAAGCTTGTTGATTCAGGAACGGATTAACTAATTTTGGGGTTCTTAAAAATAATTTTGATTATTAAGAATAAGTCTTAAATAAGTTATAAGAAATTTCGAATATTTAAATATGTAAAGGTTTTCACAAAACTTTTATAATTCTGAATAAGATTAGGAAGTTTCATTTTAACCATTTGTTATAGCCCGATCCTGCACTGATTAATATGCGGATGTAGAAAGTTTATACAAAAATAATCATGGCTTTAGATTCGCTGTTTTTTCCTCAAACTTCAAAGGATTCATTATTTATAAATAGAAATTGATTAAAAATTAAATTAAATGTTATTTTTTATTTATTTAAAAAATAAATAAACCCCTTTCCAAGAGAAACATAATAATAATGAACTTATTACTAGGATTTTCTTGATATGCAAATTTCCAATTCCCTTTTGCCTTCAAACGTCAAATGTAAATTTTCTTTGTTCAACTCGACAGCTGGCTTTCGTTAATTTATTTTCCAGCATTAGTTCCCGTGAACCCACTCCCATCGGAGAAAATTACTGGGTGTATACGAATTCAATATCCTTTTCAAAGAAACAGATTATTCCAGTATGTTACTACACAAGAACATCAACTATGCTTTTTTCGTTTTCGTTGATTTTTGAATAATATTTATGATTAAATACTTACATTTTTATTAACGGACTAAAAAAAAACTTTTTGATTAACACCAAAAGTAAAAAGTACCACACTTTATATTGAATCGTAAATTGTGATAAGCGTCAAAAAAGGGAACACTAAATCTAATTCGAAAAGCACGTGGGATCAGAATCGGACATAGGATATTTACGGTGAGGTTGAACCGCTCATTAAAAATTAATCGGCGGAAAATGCGATCACGATTGCGTGGTATTCGAGCGAGCGTCGCGACGCTTTTTCACGGAAAATCGACGCTTTCGGTGTATCCGAACGCCAGTGCGCGAATACTGTGTGGACCGTGGAAATCGGAAAACTGGCCGTTATAGCGGTTGCGCATGGCAAGCCTCAGGTGGTTGTCCGAAAATTCCTTTAAGATTTCGAAAGCTCCGCACGAACTTTTGCGGTTTCTTTACCATAGGCCGAAACGATTAATTTCAGTTATGAGAGCGATTTCAAGCTGTTACCTATTATATCTTGTACGTTTATTGCTGATGGTGGGGATTTTATCTCTTCCACTATTATCGTTTTCCAAGACTTAAGTGCTTTTTCTTTTTAGTACTTCGTAAAGATTTCAATTCAAGCTTTTCTATTTAGTGGTTTTACGTTCTTATGAAAAATTTATTAGTAACTTGAGTATTTAACATTTTTAGAATTAAAATTATACAAATTTATTGAAATTCGAGCTTTTTTTTCATCCAAATACGTTTTATACTTGACCATTAATCACGGTTTGTTACTTGATATCTAAAATAAACATAAAAGATCTTATCCTACGTCGGTACTCTATTTAAGTGGTTAACTATAGATGTGTAGTGATAATGAAATTGATACCAATCCAATTTGATAAATTAAATACAAAAGCTTTCTTGCAACATAAAAAAAATCCTGAATACCTGAATACATTCCAATTTCGTAACGAAACCGAATTTATTTTAAAGCAATGTTATGGTTATTATATTATATATTATCATTTTTAGTTAAATTTCAATCAATTTCTGATGTAAATTTCAAAATATAAAAGACGCTATTACGTCGCGGTGGTTTATCTATGTTTTAAATAAATTATTAATAAGAGTGTTACTGATAAAAACTAAAGAACTGGAACCAGGTAATATAGGGGGTGAGATATTGCTCAACCGAATCTAAAACCAAATGAATTTTTGTACAACGTAATAATAAATCTTAAGAGAATGAAAATATCACTTATAACATCTAAAGGACCCAGAGGGTAAGGACCTCGAGGGCTTAGTGTAATCACTTCATTTAGCCGCTTATAGGGGAAACTTATACAGAAAAGGTTACGAAGGGAAATGGGCGATGTAATTAGCGAAGATCAAAGTGGAATCATGCTTGGGCGCTTACGCACGGACAATATATTTATATTGCAGCAATTGATTGAGAAAATGCGATTCAAAGAAACAGATTAATTTTATTCACTCAAAGAAAGCCTATGACAACGTACTAAAAAGTAAGATTCATCTTAACGCAATCATCAGACCGTAGTATGATGATAATATCACCTATATTAAACAGCAAAAAAAGTTATCAGATCCAATATAACCTAGTGAAGGGTTAAGAGAGGGATGTAGCGTGTCACCAATTATTTTTAATCTTTATGTAGACACTGCAATAAAAGAGTCGTCAAAAAGGTCATGTCAAGATAAGGGCACTCCCAATAATAACACATATTTGTGTACCTACATTGAGTACCTACAGTGTTCACAAAATGGGGATTATAAATCAGCAATGAGACTACTAAATAACTCCCGATCAATACGGATGCCCAATTCAAAATTTTTATAAGCGACACAAATAAAATTCATCAAGTAGAACAATGTAAATACCACGATAATCGATAAGAATGATATTTTGCAGACGGAAATCAAAAGCAGGGAGGATATAGCTATAAAAGTGGTGAGAGCACTTAATTCTATCTGGTGGGATAAACATATGTATATATCGGAATAATAAGAAGTATTTTGGAAAGGCTATGGTCGAGAGTGTATTGATACATTTCTTTTTACTGTTATTCAAAAGGTTTATTACAAAAATTAGTTATAACTTTTTCTGGATTCTACTTACTGATGTAAAAAGCTTACATTATAATGATTTTAGGTTCTAAATGTACAGGATGTCCCACGACGAACTGCGTCGATCGATATAGGAGAAACTATGAGTAGTATCTTTCTGAAAATTTGTAGGTGCACTTATGTCGATAAGCCCAACTCACCTAAAATATTTTCAAGATTGTCGCACTTCCGGTTATACCGGAAGTAGACAACAACTTCGTTATTTTAAATGGAACCACCTATATATTATTACATATTTAGATTCTACGTCCGATTTTAATTAACTTTTACTTAAACATCTTATATAAAATTCTTACCCGTTTCTGAAATATTTACAAATTTATGTAAAAAAATTACCTATGCAGGCTTGTATGTTATGTGTATTTCTGCTAACACTGTTAAGTATTTGTTATATCTGATGAAAGGAATTTGAAGAAGAGACTATAGCTTAACTTTTGGTAGCTCATATGTTGTCCTACTACATACAGGGTGTTCAAAAAAAGCTGCCAAATATTTATATAAGAAAAAGCGAAAAACTCAAAAAAATTAAATGGAAACCATATATTTTTTTAATTGTATCTGAATCTACATTAAAAATAAAGGTAACTTTATGTAAGGTTCCCTATATCTAACTATCGCCGTTTCTTTGTAATTTTCGTTTTAAATAGTTTAAGATTATTCAAAACAATTTTGTGTCAAAGACGGCCATGACTACCGAGAAACAAATGAAGGTAACACAAATGTCATTATATCATTTATAAAATTCACTATGCCCGCACGTTTAAATTATACTAATGAAGATTATCTAAATCTATTTATTATTTATGGAGAATGTAACAAAGTTTTAACAAGAACATGCGATACATTTGCTGCTCGATATCCGCGAAAACGGAAACCATCCCCGAATACCTTAAAACAAATAATTCATAACTTCAACATTTTAAACAATCTCCCGAGAAACAAATGAAAGTATGACAAATTATGTATTAAGTAATTTGTATTTAACGTACTAAGTATGAGAAAACTAACTCTACTTTAATAAATGTTCAAAATTTTTCCCTTGAACTTCTAAACATTTTTCGCATCGCAAGATGACTTGTTGATGGGTAGCCTTTCTCAAAAAATCTGGATTTAAGTTATTGAACGCATTTCGCACTCTTTCCATACAATTTTCCTGAGTGGTCAATGTCGTGCTATAAACTTGATTTTTGATAGTACCCCATATAAAGTAATCTAAAACCGACAAATCAGGTGATCTAGGTGGCCACAAGAAAGGTCCATTATTAGCAATCCATTGGCCATTAAATATATTTTCGAGGAAATTGCTAACTAAATAGCCGTTGTGCGGAGGCGCTCCATCGTGTTGGTAAAAAATTTGTGTTAATTCAACCAGAGGTAAATTTTCTAAATAATTAGTATCAAAATTTCGTAAAATGTTTAAATATCTTTCGCCTAGAAAAAAATTAATTGCAGCAATTAAAATTAATTGTAAATTATTCGTTATACCAATTATTTCTTAATTATTTACCATTTAGATTTTCCTCATAAAAATGCAACGCTACTACTCTATCGTTTCTTATAGCGCAGTAGACATTGAATTGCCAGCTTCCTTGAAAATTACTCGTCGTAAATTTGTGAGGATTAGAATCACTCCAATAATGCGAATTATGTCTATTAAACAAACCATTTTTGGTAAATTTTGCCTCGTCAGACCAAATAATATTGTCCAAAAATTGATTATTTCCATAGTGTTCAGTTAAAATAAATTCACAAAAATTCACTCTTCTTGCGAAGTCAGTATCTCTTAAATGTTGCACTATGGAAATTGAATACGGATGATACTTATGTTTTTTCAAAATTCTGTGGATTGAGCTTTTGGAAAGTCCAGATTCTTTTGAAACTTGTCTGAGAGATATTGTCGGATATGCATTGAAATATCCTAAAACAGCGATTTCCACATTTTCATTATCTACAATAGGCTTCTTTTTGAGAACTTTTCCTTTTACGGAACCATGTGTCTTGAAGTTATAAATTATTTGTTTCAAGGTATTCGGGGATGGTTTCCGTTTTTGCGGATATCGAGCAGCAAATGTATCGCATGTTCTTGTTAAAACTTTGTTACATTCTCCATAGATAATAAATAGATTTAGATAATCTTCATTAGTATAATTTAAACGTGCGGGCATAGTGAATTTTATAAATGATATAATGACATTTGTGTTACCTTCATTTGTTTCTCGGTAGTCATGGCCGTCTTTGACACAAAATTGTTTTTAATAATCTTAAACTATTTAAAACGAAAATTACAAAGAAACGGCGATAGTTAGATATAGGGAACCTTACATAAAGTTACCTTGATTTTTAATGTAGATTCAGATACAATTAAAAAAATATATGGTTTCGATTTAATTTTTTTGAGTTTTTCGCTTTTTCTTATATAAATATTTGGCAGCTTTTTTTGAACACCCTGTATGTAGTAGGACAACATATGAGCTACCAAAAGTTAAGCTATAGTCTCTTCTTCAAATTCCTTTCATCAGATATAACAAATACTTAACAGTGTTAGCAGAAATACACATAAATTTGTAAATATTTCAGAAACGGGTAAGAATTTTATATAAGATGTTTAAGTAAAAGTTAATTAAAATCGGATGTAGAATCTAAATATGTAATAATATATAGGTGGTTCCATTTAAAATAACGAAGTTGTTGTCTACTTCCGGTATAACCGGAAGTGCGACAGTCTTGAAAATATTTTAGGTGACTTGGGCATATCAACATAAGTACGCCTACAAATTTTCAGAAAGATACTACTCATAGTTTCTCCTATATCGATCGACGCAGTTCATCGTGGGACACCTGTATATATTAATAAATATGTTATGGATAAAAAATTCAGGTTAATATTTTAATAGAGCTAGAGATATTGTATAAGTAAGGATAAAGCATACTAAAAATGTAGTAACTCAGCAAATTGAAAAAACAAAATGATTTTATTTATTATTATAGCTAGCTGATGTTTCTCATAAATTCAACAAAACCTAGGTGCATGTGATGGGTCCTTACGTACTTTATTTTCATATTTGCCTTCAAGCTATGCTTTTAATAAACGTGAACGCTACCTGAGTTTTAATACAATTACGCAATATACCAGCTTATTTGCTGCGTTTATAATCGAAAATAATATTTTTTACT